GTGGGGATATCTGAAGCGAACGGTTTTTCCCGAAAACCGAGAACTATCGAGGAACTTAAACAGAGCATTGTGGCGCAGTGCGCAAGTATTCCAACTGCTACCAGTTTGAAGATGGAAGAAAACTATCTTCATCGGATTTCGCTATGCAAGCAGCAGAATGGAAAACATATGGAACATCTTTTATAATATGAATATAATCATTCCCGTAATATTTGTTCTTGCTTTCCTTCGGAATTCTATCTCAGAGGTAGTTAGCAAGATCGTTCAACGCAAAACAACCAGCTGGAAAAAAATCAAGAGGAGTTTTGCGTGGACCTACATTAGGAGATATTGTTGTCCCTTATTAAGACAAGTTCAAAGTTTTATTATGATTATCTGTTTACCGAACCCGCTTCGAAAAATAGTGTGTGTATCTTAGACGAGTCAGTCGNTCATAATCGCTTAAGCATTTTTCATTCGGAATTTCCCACATGGCGCACCGTTCCACAACTGATTCTCTTGGGGTGATTCTCTACCAACACAGGCTGCATGGGATTCGGAACCTATCCTCCTCCTATGCCGGCCCGCAAAATCACACGACCGATCGGGTTCATTTATCGATCGGTCGAATGATTCAGCCGTAACAAGGGCCCTGGTGCTTGCCCAGCTAACCCGAGCGGGAAACCACACCTTTTTTTACAGCTGTGAGTCCCAGGCAAGCCCAGTGAACTTCGTCTGTGTAGCAGGCGTGCCATCCTTAGTCGGATGGACTGGACGTAACAACAAGAGCATTACAAAACGTACAAGTCGTAATCAAACAGTCTCGTGTTGGGTTGAGAGATTTTAAGCGCCGCAGATCGCGGAATACGATCCAATCAGATCGCATTAGGGGTCAAAGGGAATTTGCTTGCTTAAGGTCGCGGGTGAGAGGGACGAGACGACTGAAAACGATGGAGCAATCGCACTGTATTCATAAGTTCATTGACATCAGTTCATACCCGAACTATTAGAGCTTCACGAACATGTCCACTTTATGCCTTTTTATGGAAAACTGAAAAATTCTATTTCTTCACGGTACGTTGTATCAATTACTTATTATTGAAATAGATTGTTAAAACTCATAGGAATCAGGCGCTGTGTATCAAAGTCTTTTGCGCAGATAGAGTTGAATGATCTGGATACGTTGGTTACTAAAAAAGCAGGTATGCTTACAAGTGATACCGTAAAGTTTCACCATAACGTTGTTAGGTGTTTAAAGCGGTTTTTAGTAGCACATCGTTCAACAAGGCTCGGAGTTGAGTCTAAACCGGCCGCCACCACCACTACCATGAAAATATAATCACTGACCGCAGGAAGTCGGTATCTATCCCGCATAAATTGTTCACTAAGGAATCAACCGCGATACATCATCCCACACCAGGTACTTTGAACATTTAAAAAATACTTTGTTACGATCTACGTATAAACAAGACTCACTAGGTTGAGAACGGTTTGACCCAGTCCACGTCACTCAAAGTCATGATAGATTGCTGACCCATGACGACCTCTGTGTTGATCAGCATTAGTTTTTGACAGTAGGTTAGTTCGGCATAACGCAATGTCTCGTAATCACCCACCACGACGTAGTCAGGATTATCAATAAGCATAGAAATAGCAGTGGATGTGTTTGGCACCACCAGGTTTTCATCGTTTACCCTGCGCAGAATGTCCTGAAATGCTTGTTTTGTGTTGGATTCCTAGAATCAATGGAATAGAGTGATTGAGCATATGAATTCATCTGCATGTGTAACAGTAGCAATTATAGAAAAAAGTAATATCATTAATTGGAAAAAGTAACGTCTAATTGCCCTAACTTCGAGCACGTTGGATGAGAAATCGATGGAGAAGTGCAGAAACCGACCTGAAAAAATTCGTAAACTCCTGTGCCCCGCACAATCAATGGTTTCAACGTGGTGTCTGCCGCCAAGTCCAGGAGCGATCCTATTCGTGGTTTGTAGTTGCTCCTCGTCAGAAATGATGTGATATCCGCTTGCCACGCACTGAATAGAAGAAATATCATGACCCATTGAGCCAGCAGCACGACACGCGAGGATGGATTGTTTGGATAACGCAGTATGCCTATGGCAGCGTAGAAACAAAACATTTTAAGAAGTTCGCTTTAATTCATAATTGCTTGCGAATAGTGATTTTAGGTAGTTCCCACTGAATTTTGCTAACCACGGTTTGGACATTACCTCCATGCACATACCACAGAGCCATACATTACAGTTTTTACGATAACCGGTGGGAAACTGACGATATGGACCAGTCGAAAAAGCAGGAGTACTGTGATATCACTGAAATATCTCCCACCAACGATCTTTGGTACGTTCCGTGCAAAAATTCATTAGTTTTGATGTTATCCAGCATCATTAAGCTCTCAGTCATGCTTTAACCTACAGCAACGTTTCATACTGAATTGAACGGTAGCCGTTTATTCTGAAACTGAGCTCGTGAAGAGTTCCAAGCTTTCCGTATGTCCCGGTGACCACTTGAATCCGGAAAAACAAACCACATCCTGATGTTGTCGGTCAAAACGGTTGTAGAGCCATGCCCAAGCACATGTTCAAACAGTCCGTTCAGGTGCACATCCAAAATGAACAGGAGGAAACAACTAGGAAAAGGGCGTTTCGAATTGCTCGACCCAGGCCAGGAAACAGTTGAGCGACGGAATAAGAAAATAAAATGAAGCGTTGGTAGAACTACAGTTTCACAGGCGTCAGACTCACATTGGTGAATGGAACACTTGCAAATGTTCCACATTTGTTCCAAAAAGTGGAATCGTTCCGGAATCGGTGGGGACGAGGTAATTTGATTTCGTAAACTGTACGGACTGTATCGTTCGTACAAGTAGCACATGGCGGTACTGACAATCGCGCATAGGACAAAGATACCCATCACTTCTGGCTGGTAGATTTGAAACAGACGAAACAGTTTGCCCTCTGTGGTCGGTTTGGCAATCAAAATAGCCAGACGACCGTCTAGCACGTGACCCAAAAAGGATCCAGCCGAGTCTCGTTCCTTGTTTTGAACGAGACACGAACCAGCCAAGT